TCTGAACCTCACTTGATCTGTATTTTAAGGAACATTCTTGTAAAAATACTCCTCGCCGTTTTTCCTGGCTCTCAGAGGGTGTTTTTTATCTAATTTTATATTTTCTTCTTTTTTATTAGTTTTTTTTATTAAATAAAGGTCAAAGTCCTCTCTTAATAAGAGAAAATACAGAGTGTAAAGGATTAAAAAACAGGGAAATAAAGGGAGCAAAACGGCAAAAAGAAAATAAATAGGAGAAAAAGGGGGAGAAAATACGAATTGGGAAAGAATTCTTCCCCAGTCCAGACTGTCTTCCCGTGGGATTTTTTTCCTGCGTGGACCCCGGGGTGGCGGTGGGGGGAGAGGGCTGAAGTCAGGTGCTGCTGTGGCTTTTCCCACACGCCTCGAACAATGCCGGGATCGCTCCCACATCTTCCCACCAGGGCGCTGGGAATTTGGGGACCCTTTTCCTCAGGCAGGGATGGGATGCGGGAGCGGGATCAGGGACACCCCCAGGGCTCTGCAGCCTCCCCCCGCGCTGCTGCTGGACAGTTCCTGGCATCCCTTTTTGCCCCAAAACTCCTTTTTTTGGTGTTTCTTTCCCCACCTCGCCCCACAGGACGCTCCCGCACGGGATCTGCGCCGCTCCCGTCCCCTGTCCCGTCCCTCTGGAGCGCTCCTGGGGGGCTGGAGCATCGTCCCTCTGCTGTGTCCCCCCCTGGCCCCTGTCCCAGTCACCCCAAACACCACACGGGGAGCCTTTTGGGGTGGGCTGGTGTCTCATGAGAACTTTCTGAGGTGGGCTGGTGTCTCAGGAGAGCCTTTTGGGTGGGCTGGTGTCTCATGAGAGCCTTTTGGGGTGGGCTGGTGTCGCAGGGGAGGCGAGAGGATCCTTTGGTGACTGTTTAAAAGCCGCGATAGGGATCTCGGTGCCTCGATCAGAATCTGTCGCGACAGGTGACTGCAGCCTGGCCGGAGCAGAGGGGAAGGAAGGAAGGAGGAAGGCCCAGGGTAACTTTTGAAGGCAGCCATGACCAGATTTGGCTTGCAGCCCGCTGAAGGAGCAGCACAGCCCCCCCGGTGTCCCTCTCCCCCAGGTCAGGGGGGCAGGCTTGGCCCCGGGGACTGGCTGATGCTGCTGCGGGGCCGGTAGCCCCGGGCTGCGGCTCAGGGGGGCTCCGGGAAGAGATGAGGATGGTGGATGGGTTTCCTAATTTTTTTTTTATTGTATTACCATTCACCACCGGGTTTGCAAACCTGTCCCAAACCCCAGCCAGTTTCGGTCCTGAGATGAAGAGTTTTCCATTTCATCCCCACAGCCCAGTCAAGGGAGCGTTTCCCCGGTGCTCCAGGCCCCGGGTGGAACACATTCCCTCCAGGAATCCCCCCAGGCCTCCGCACAGCCCAGCAGAGCTGCCTCGTCCCTCCCAAGCAATCCCACCTTCCCTGGAGCTCGTGGGACGGCGCCGGCCGAGCGATTTTTGGGGAAGGCCACGAGCTCTTCTGTCATTTCCGAAGGGACTTCGCAGAAAATCCACACCCGGCTCTGGAAGGCCGGGAGAGAAGGAAATACATCCCTGATCCCGGGCGGTACCGAGCGACCTGGCATCTGTGCTCGGCCAGGGGTGAGGGGCGGGCAGCTCCGGGAGATCATCCCTGAGGAGCCCGGCCGGGATGCGGCGGGAATGGGGAGCTCTGGGTCACATCCCTGAGGAGCCCGGCCGGGATGCGGCGGGAATGGGGAGCTCTGGGTCACATCCCTGAGGAGCCCGGCCGGGATGCGGCGGGAATGGGGGGCTCTGGGTCCCATCCCTGAGGAGCCCGGCCGCGATGCGGCAGGGCCCGGCCGGGATGCGGCGGGAATGGGGAGCTCTGGGTCACATCCCTGCTCTCCTCCAGGCCGGGATGAGGCAGGAATGGGGATCACAGATTTACATTCCTGCTCCCCTCCAGGCTGGGATTCAGCAGGAATGGGGAGCACTCTTTTTTGCCCTGCTCCCCACATCCTGGGGTGCTGCAGGAATGGGGAGCTCTGATTTACACCCCCGTTTCCCCTGGGCAGGACTAATGCGGGAGTGGAGATCACTGATTTACAACCCTTGTTGCTCCCAAAATTGTGATGCAGAAGGAGTGGGGAGCTCTGATTTTTGGCCTGCTCTCCCCATCCCGGCATGGATCAGGAATGGGGATCACTGATTTACACCCCTTCACTGATTCACACTCCTTCTTCCCCATTTCCCGGCATGGATCAGGAATCGGGAATTCTGAATCACACCCTTCTTCCCCCCAAGACTGGGAGGCAGCAGGACTAGGAATCCCTCATTTCCACCCTTTCTTCCCCCCTTTCCCGGGATGCAGCAGGAAAGGGGAGCTCTAATTCACGCCCCTTCTTTCCCATTCCCCGGGATGGATCAGGAATGGGAATCCCTGATTTACACCCCTGCTCCCCCAATCCTTAGGTGCAGCAGGATTGGGAATCCCTGATTTCCACCCTTTCTTCCCCCGTTTCCCGGGATGCAGCAGGAACGGGGAGAGCTCATTTGCGCCCTGCTCCCGCCGGGGGCTCCGGGCGGGACCTCTCCTGGCTGCTGCTTTAAAAGGGGCTCGTCAGCTGGAGAGGAGGGGAAACCCATCCAGGAGCGCCTACATCGCTGGCTCCGCGTTGTTTGTTTATTTTTTTTTTTTTTTTTTTTTTTTTTGGTGTGCGTGTGTGGGTTTTTAAATTTTGTTTTCTGTTTAGAGAAAGAGCGACGGTACCAACAACATCAAGGAGAAGCCCCCTCTGTCGCTTTTTCCCGGCCCCCCCGCGGCCGTCGGAGCCTCTCGGAGGCTGATCCCGTGCGGATAACGCAGCTAAAGCGCTCCAGCGATGCCGCCGGCAGGGAAGGGACACCAGGGATAACACGCAGCACACGAGCTGGGAAGAAGGAGCGGAGAGAAAAGCCGCATCCCCGCCTCCAAGGATTTCCCACCGCCAAGAGGGGAAAACAAGGGAGGAAACAAGAATTTGACTGGGGGCGGGAGCTCGGGGAGAGAGCGGGAGCCCTGCGACTGTCTCCTGCCGTACACGCGAGTATTTATTGTTCTACTAATCCGTGCCTGGAGCGTCTCAAGGAGCGGGGGACTCCCCGAGGTGCGGAGAGGAGGAGGCTGAGCGGGGAAGACCCTCGGTCGCTGCTCTGAGGATGCTCCGGGCGGCTCAGAGCAGCCGCGCTCTGCTCCATCCCTCCCCGCCGAGGATGCTCCAGGGGCGGCGGGGCTGCCCGGGCGTGCTGCTCCGCAGTGAGCCCCCAGATCCCTCCTTTCGCCTCTCTCTTTATTTATTTGGGGCTTTACTGAGCTTTTGGCACGGCGGGCGGGTGCTGCAGCTCCCGGGGGCCGCGGGGGTGCGCAGGGCGCGGGGGGGATGCGGAATTACGAGCGAGGGGGGTGTTAGAGGGGTGACTTCCAGCCAGTGAGAGGGGAGACCCCCACACCCCCTCCCTGCGCACCCCGGCTGCGTTTCCCAGGCTCTCCTGGAGGTTTCAGGACCCATCGGAGCTCCACAGCATCGCGCTGGGTTTTACCCCGGGGATGAAAAATCCTTCTCCCGACGGGGTAGAGACGTTGGGCCAGAAACGCCACGGCTGAAGGGGAACTTGCAGGGAAATCCGGGCATGGCATCGCCACGGCCGGGTGCTGCTGGGGGACACCCGGAGCTCGGCTTTTACCTCCTCCCCTGCCAGGTAAAAATCCCGGCAGGCCCGTGGGAGCTGCGCTGTTGGGATGTTTCTCTTTGAAGGAGGAAAGGATCCCCCTCAGGCCTCTTCTTCCCTCCCTCGGAGAAAAGATGCTCCACAGGACAGGGGGTCCCGCCGGTCTAAACCCGCGGGGGGACTGGGGACACAGGCGACACCTCCAACTGCATCGGAATCCCTCGGGGCCTCGGATTAAAGCTGTTACGTCAGTAAATGTAAAAAAAAAAAAAAAAAAAAAAAAAATCCGACAACAGAAAACACAGCCCCAAACCTGGACGTTTATACAGAAAAAGAGCATCACAAATTCCTAATGTAAGCACCGGCCAGCTGTGTGCACTTGTAAAGTTGTTATAATCCCCCTCCTTGTTATAAACAGGAAAGTACATAATATAAAGCAACAGGCCCGCATTCACAAATACTGACCCTCCTCCCCGGGCCTGCCAAATTCCCCTTTTGCTGCAGCTCTGCCTGCTCGGGCTGCGAGCGGGGCTGCACCGGGGGTCCCCATTCGCCCGTCCCCGGGGGTCTCCTCGGGGTGAAACCCGGGAGCGGGAGGTGCCAAGGACCCCTCCACACCTGATCCCCCTTCTCTTTTCCTTCCTCGCCATCGCAGCTCTGCCTCCTCCCCTCACCCACCCCTTTCTCTTCCTTTCTTCATTTTAATTTTTTTAAAATTTTTGCGCTGTTGAATGCCCCAGTTTTGCTGCGGGGATCCCTGCCCGCTGCTCCCCAGCTCCAGCAGTGAACATCCTGCTCTGCTGTGTGTGCTTACAGCGTCAAAGGGTGGACGTGATATTTCAAACATCAGATCAGTGCGTTTATATATTGGGTGCCCGGAAATTTTTCCAAATAAACACAGCTTGATTCGACTTGGGTGGGCAGACTTATCAACAGACTAATTCTATAAACAAATGAAGGAATAACCCGGAGACCATTGGCTGGTACCAGCGAGACACGTGGAGAGAGCTCGGAGTTTTGTAGCAATGAAATTTTAATTAATGTGGGTGGGCTGAGAACACAAACGACTGTTTATCAGAGACAATTTATTTTCCAGCGCTAAGTCAACATATAATAGCAAACTTACAACAATTATTTAACTTTTTTTTTTTCCTCCCTTTTTTTTTTTTTTTTTTTTTTTTTTTTTTTTTTTTTTAAGAGCTATGAAGCAGGGACAGAGGCAGAGCGAGCTCCTTCAGGCAGGGCTGGGAGCTGAGCTCGCACAAACAGCTCCCCGGTGGACTCGTCCCACGTTCCTGCCCTACCCCGTCCCTTCGCTGGGCTCCGAGGGGGAAGAAGAGGAGCTGCGAGCCCGCCGGCCATGAGCCACATCTACGGCAGCCACCTCTCCCCCCTGGGCAGCCCGTCCATGGTTTACCTGCCCGCCGCGCTCGGCTTCGCCCCCGGGGGGGCGATGTCCCGGCAGGACCCCCCTCAGAAACCCCCGTACAGCTACATCGCCCTCATCGCCATGGCCATCAAAGAGGCTCCGGAGCAGAAGGTGACCCTGAGCGGCATCTACCAGTTCATCATGGACCGCTTCCCCTTCTACCACGACAACAAGCAGGGCTGGCAGAACAGCATCCGCCACAACCTCTCGCTCAACGATTGCTTCGTCAAGGTGCCCCGCGAGAAGGGCCGGCCCGGCAAGGGCAGCTACTGGACCCTGGACCCGCGCTGCCTGGACATGTTCGAGAACGGCAACTACCGCCGCAGGAAGAGGAAGCCCAAAGCCGCGACCCCTCCGGACGCCAAGGGTGCCGAGCAGCCCGGCCCGCCCGCTCGCCCCGCCGAGCCCAAGCGGGCCAAGCTGGGCGAGCCGCGCCCGGCCGGGGGCACGGCGGCTTCTCCCGGGGGGCTTCCCCCGCTGCCCCCCGCTGCCGCCCCGCCGCACAAGAGCGGCTCCCGGGGCCGCAGCTTCAGCATCGAGAGCATCCTGGCGCAGGGGCTGCGGCCGCCGCCGGCCGGGGCAGCCCCCAAGGCGGCCCGGGAGAGCCCCCCCGGCTGCCTCGGCGGCTCGCTGCTGGCCGGCGGCGGCTTCGGGCCGGCCCTCAACGCGTCCCTCATGCTCGACTCCCAGGTGCACGGCAGGCTTTACCACATCGGCATCCCCTTCCTCTCCTGCTTCCCTCTGCACTTCTCCGAGGCGGTGTTTAATTTCCAGTAGCTGTCCCCGCAGTTAATGCCCCCCACCCCACGCCCCGAGCGCTGCTCCGGGCGGGGAGAGATCGGACTCAGAGCTCACCACGCGGGTAAAAACCTAAAAATCCCCCTCCCAAAGCGATGTTTTAAAGGTGACTCAGGATTTCAGGGCATTTTCAAGGCGCGTCTTGCTGCGGATTCTCTTTGGCGGGTGCCTCGCACCCCCTGCCCGAGCGACTGTGGAAGGTAAAAGCGATTTTGTGTTCCCGAGGGCGGTGGAGGTGCAGGCAGCACCGGGACAATGCCCACGCTGGCCCCAAGCCCCGTGGGGTTTGCTCTGCACCTTTAGTCTTTGCATCCCTCAGGTTCCTCAGAGCAGGTTTCCCTCGAGCCCTTCAGGTTTTCTTCTTTTATTTTTCCTTTGAAAGCCAAGCCCCATCTCAGGGGGAGGAGGTTGAGTTTTGTTTTGCCATCAATACCCACAGGTATTAATAATATCCATAATTTTGCCATGAATACCCACAGGCACATAACAATTCCTGATATTGCCCACTGGCCCAGTCCTCCCAGTGGGTAACTGGAGCTGAGCTCATGGCAGACCAAGCAATCCAGGCTCATCCTGAATATTCCTGCTTGCTTTGACCCAGCATGGTGTGGAACTGACTTCCTGCTCAGCACTGCTGCTTTGGAGTATCCCCACAGAGTTTCTGTTCACGGATGGGGCCAAAAAAAAAAGGGGATGGATGAGCAAACATGGAGATTTGTCTTGTTCCATCTCTTACTGGGATCGGTTGCTTCTGACCAAAAAAGACTGAGGCAGGGTTGTGGAGGCCGGGAGAAATACCAGGGAAAAAAAAAAGAAAAAAAAAAAAAGAGAGACATCAGCTGTGTTTCTAAAGTTTTCTTTTTTTTTTGTAAAGAAGGAAGAATCCCGACACATTGCAAGAAATCAGGAATATTTTGTATTTTTGTTTGCCGTAAATAGAGGCTTTTTGTATATTCGTGGATAAATGCCCTCTTGGGGAAAAAAAAATATTATATTCTCAATTTTCATTATGAAACCAAACCTATATCCAATAAAGGTATTTTTGTTCAGGATTGTGGCTGGTGTGATGTGAAACACCCCTTGGCTTGTGCTGGAGGATGGAGGAGTGGGGCCTGCTGCAAATATCCTGGTGCTGATGTGATGTGCCACAAAAAGATGGGAGAGGCTACAAAAAAGGCTCCTGGGAAATTGCCTGTTCCTTGAAACTGGTGAAATCTTTCCCAAAATTATTGTTTCTCCTTCTCTTCACCTTCTTTCATCCCACCCCGTCTCAAAAGCAAAGCTTGCTCTTAAATGAGCACCTGGAAATTGGAAATGTGGGGTTTTCAGGTGAGTTTTGGTTCAGTTTTGCAGAGGAAGGTTGGCATCAATTCCTTGATGTTTGGACCAGGGTTGCTCATTCCAGCCCAAGGCAAGGAGCTCTCACGTGGGGAAGGACAGAAAATCTCCAAAAGGTGAGAATTGTTATTTAGCTTCCCCCCAAAAAAAGGATGCTCATAGGCAGATCCCTGGATTGGCTGAACTGGAGCTTCTCAATGTGAAAAAAGAGAATAAAAACATACAAAATAGACTTTATTTTAATAAAATCCCTTATTAGCTTCCCATTTCTGACAGCTGCTGTTTGAATATCTATTGAGTCAGTTGTTTAAATTAGAATTAGAAATTCTAATTTAAACACTGAATTAGAAATTTAGGCACTAATTTAGGCACTGAATTAGAAAATTAAGAAACACTTGCACAAGGTTGTGAAGGTGTCACTGCTCAGTCCCCACCAGAATTCCCAGGGCTGGGTGAGTGCTGAGAGGGTTAAATGTCCCTGTGTGGCACCCCTGGCCCTGCAGTGCCACTCCTGTGTGGCATTAGGGACAGGTGCCAGGTACAGAAGGGGCCACCTGGCCAGGGGGTTCCATTCCAGGCTGGCACTGACCCCTTTGGGGTCTGGGAGGGGACAGCACCCACAGGAAGCTGCAGGGGGAGGAAGATGAGCCCAGCAGAGCCCTCAGGTCCTCCCTGCACCCCCTGTGGGGTGATTTGGGCTCAGGGTGGGGTGGGAGGTTGATGCTTCCTCCCAGACTTGTTTGATGGGTCTCCATCAAGCCCTTCCCTGCATCCCTGGTGTCCCCACAGCCCGGCCCATGGAAAGGTTTCACCCCCCCCAAAATTGGATAGTTGTGCTCTCAGTCACCACTTTTAACCTGCATCTTCTGCTCCTCTGTTTCCCTTTCTCCTGACTTGGCCTCCCAGCTGTGACCCCCAGTTTTGTCACCTCTCAGCTCCTATTCCAGCCCCCAAAATACCTTTTTGGACCTGCAAGCAGGGCTTTTATTCCTTTCCTACTCACACACGTGGGACCTCTCCCTGTCTGAGCCCTTTCTGCACAAGAGCAGTTTTTTTAGTGGTGAAAAACAGTGAGTCTCAGTTTAATACACGATGTATATTTTTATCACAGACACTTTTTTTTGGAGACCCAGCTTTTTCTTCGCAATGGGAATTTGTTTCTTTGCGAAGCTTTGCTTTGACATTTGATCTTATTTCTGTTTTGGTGGAGTGGAGTGGGACCAAGTACAGCTGCAGCCTTTAAAAGCCACGTTGAGCTTGATTTTGGTTTCGCTTGAGGGAGCGAAATTAGTAAACTTAACATGCTTTGCACAAAAGTGACACTAACTCCAATGAGCTCAGAACCCGGTGAGCAGTTCTGAGGGGCAATTTGGAATTAATTGGGATCAGGCCAGTGCTGTAACAGGGGATAAATACCAAGAAAATGGGTCTTATTGCCAGCAGGCTGGATGAGTAACCACACACGGCTTCTGCACGTCATCTGTTTATAGAGAGGGGAGAAGTCATGGTACAATAAAAACATACAGTAAAAACATAAAATAAAAACACACAGTAAAAACAACAGCAGAGCAATGAGTGTGCAGTCAATTCACCAATCCCTGCCCTTCGGATGGGGCTGAGCATCCTTCAATCCTCTCCACATTCACGGGGATTTTGGTGCCTTCAATCCTCTCCACATCCACGTGGATTTTGGTGTCTTTAATCCTCTCCACATTCACGTGGATTTTGGTGCCACGGAAACATCAAGGACCTGAGAAACTGCAAGGAATCGGTGCCAGTGGTTTCACACCTGCTTCACAAGCCAAAGAAGCAGCTGCCAACTGCCACCCAGCATTTCGCTCATCCCTGGAATCTTCCTCCTCCTGGCTTTCCCAACCTCTCAGGGCTGGCTATAAACACCAGTCTGGGATACTCGGGAGAAGTGGAAGTAGCCCGGGATGCAGAATAAACAGCACACTGCCTGTGTGGGCGATGGAGATGCCTTCCCCTTCCTCTGCAGAGGAATGACCTCTCCCAGCCCAGCAAGGTTTCTCATCTCCCAGCTCCGCAGCCAATTTTAACTCCTAGGAGAAAGGAGATCACAGAGTGGGAGAGGCTCACAGAGGAGTTGTTTGGTTCCCAGAGGGGCTTTGCTCCAAATGTGAGTTTCCTATGAGGGGAACTGAAAATTTGGCATATTAAAATAATTCTGGATTTTAATTCCTCATAAATGGGGCTTCCAGTCTTTAAATAGGCTCAGTGTGTGTTCTCCTAAAGTTGGTCTCATAGCATGTATAAAATACAATCAATATTTAAGCATGAGCAGAAGCCACTTTCAGGGTTTGTCACTCAAAGTGTGGCTGTCCATGCCTGATTCCAAGGTGCCATAAATCTCAGGGACTTTGTAGCTTCTTCTCCTTCCCCATTTTAAAAATTAATTCTCTTTCCATTCCTTACCACAGAAAACACACAAAGGAGGGACCATCCCTTTCCACACCAAAATCCACTGGCTTCCTGCTGGCTGCTCCTAAGCCTGGTGTGAGGAGCAGCCAATTCCTGAAGCAAAAAAGGGAAGAAGGATCTGCTTCCTCACTTGATTCATAGCCCCACACACCCAGAGAAGAGATCTCCCAGGAGACAGCGTTCAGGATATTAAACAGATCACATATTTGATTTGAAGTGAAAGACCAAGAAGACAAGATCACAGAATGAGAGAAGTTACAGATGGAAAAGGTCTAAGAGGTTATGCAATCCATCAGTCTGGACGTTGCATAATTGCTCCCCACAGTATATTTTTAGTGCTTTATCCAGACAAATCATTAAGTGCTTTAAAATGGGCCAGATTCCTCAAATGCAGTGCGTGCTAAGTCACAGCTGATTTCACTGAGCCTCGCAGCCCCAGTGTCTAACAAGACACCAAAAGGAAGTTTTGTGTGGTCAGAGAGAACAGAACGGGCCCTTCCAGAAATAATCCAGGCCTGATTCACTATCCCTCACAGGAATCTCTCCTAAATTGACTGAGTGAGACCTCTAAAATCTCATTTTCGGATTACAGCGAATAATACATTATTACTTATTCAGATGTTCTCTTAGGCCAAAGTCAAACACTGCTCATGTTCATGCGAACACGATTTGTTTTAAGCCAGCTTCAAAGCCGGCTCAGCAAAGCGTAAAGAATGTTTATTTAAAATATAGTTGCTAAATTTAGCATGAGCTCGGTTAGCCTAAATCTTAGCGACATTTTTAGAGAGCACACTGCGAATCAGGAATGCATGGAGAAATAAATAAACTTTCCCACATTTTTGGAAATCGAGGGAGAATTTGCGAGCTCTTTCTCGCACGGGCGATTTCCGTGGATTGGAGGATGCAAATTTCCCACTGAACAGACAGTTGGAAACGCACAATGCTGATCATTTTCACTGCAGTTTGGTTTCAAATAATGCTTCCTCAAGGAGGAAACAAAAGCTGTCAGCTTTTTTTTTTTTTTGCAGAAATTACGCAGAGCACCAACATGTTTCAATATTTACCCAAGCTCTTTGCGAAGCACCGAGAAGAAAATGGAGCTGGGCTTGGGCACGAGCCAAATGTCAGGTTTGGATTAGGTCTTGTGACCTTTCCTGGTTATTCTGATACTGGATTTTACACCCACTTCTTGCACATTG